GGTAACATATCTCAGGAAAGCTTGTTTCATGCTTTCCACAAGCCAAAATCTGTTACAAAACTGAAAATTCCCACTCTTTATTGGTTATGTAACAGCTCACTCTAATCTCCCTGGGCCCTTTTAGAAGCTACCAAGTCAATGCTCAGCTTGCGGCTGTTCTCAAAAACTTCTGAAGATCCGGCTAAACACTCACATAACTTTTTTCACCAAAATGCTGCTGCTCTGCGCAGTTTTCTATCACTAGACAACAAGCATAAAACATCGTCAGAAATTGTCCAAATTGGGGACCAGCAGATGGTGTAATGGTTACATTGCCAAACTCCCACATAGTCAACCATGGTTCAAGTTCCAGACCTGGCAGCTTAAAACTTGCACCAGCTGCGTGTGCGTGGATGCCTGAAGTACCAAGAAGAGAACGGAGGGGAAGGGATTGTGGTGTGGCTATCCCCCCAGGGGGAATTTCTCGCTTTCTGTTCCTCTCTCTCTCTGTCCCTCTGGTGAGTACACGGGCCCTATAAAAACCCCCCCCCCCCCCAATGTCCATATTGTATTCCTTTTCTTCCCTCTCTTCCTATGTGAGTTAACCCTAGTTTAGCTCCTAATCACATTTGTCCCCTTCAGGGGACAGTTATTTACATGTCAATGTCCACACCTATTGGGGCTTCATTTTCATTTCTCTCTTTTTTTTTTCCCAATTTATTTATTTGCATTCATTCACTGTACATCATTACAGCATACAAAATGAGATTTTCCATCTAGAGTACACTGTATATTGTTTCAATCAAGCACATCAACAAATATGTTATTCTTAGCAAATGATCTTCCATTTCTTGTTTTCTGTATGTTTTGCTTTTTTCCCCCCATCCTTGGTTCCCTATCTCTTACCCTCTGCCACCTCCTGTTCTCCTCCCACACTGTCTCTAGTATCTATGTTTGCTTTCTATACCATTTTCCCCCCACATTTTATTGAATCACCAAAGACCCTAATCAATCCAAATACCCTCCTAGCAAATACATGTGACACACACATTTCCATGAGCACAAGTCTAACTTTACACATCCTATAAAGTAGCACCTAACTGGGGCTACATATCCTACTGCAGTCATTGAATAGATATTTTTTTTTCCTGAAACTTTTTTTTTTAACTCAATTTACATTCCTTCCCTAAGCATCATCACAGCGCACAAAATGCAATCTCCCATCCAGTACACATTGCATAGTGACTCAATCATGCACACAGAAGCAGCCAAACATGTAATCACACACTGCCTCATAGCAAGAGCAGTAACGGAAAAAGCAAGATGTACAAACTGATCCAGCTGACACTAAAGCTTTCAACAATTTGTAGTTTCTGTTCTTCATACTACTGGCATACCTTATAACCCTCAAGGTCAAGCTGTAGTAGAAAGGGTCAACCAGCATTAAAAACTCAGAAAAAGGAGAGACAAGGTAATCCCTGTAACTCTTCACTCTAAACTTCCTTTTGTTTTATAAACTTTAAATTTTTAAAATTCCTCATCAGAGGGCCTCACTGCCATGGAAATTTATTACCAAGTGATAGAAAAAGCTAGACCTCAATATGCAAAATGGAAAGATCTCAGTTCAGGAGAGTGGAAGGGACCTGACCCAGTGTTAGTGTGGGGTTGAGGGTATGTTTGTATTTCTCCAGAATCATTGCTGAAGCCAGGGTGGGTTCCAGCTCGACTTGTGAGACCACTGGACGATGGGACAACCAGAGGACCAGCCGATGAAACAGATATGGGAGAGGATGCAGGACTTACATCTGGACAAAGTACCCAATAGAAAAGGGAAAATCAACATAGGTGGTGCACCCATGGGGACTTTGTCTGACCGAGAGCAGAACAATTCATAGGAGGCCAGAGAGCACCAGTTACGGCTTCTTCTTTATTTTTGGCCATAAGTATACTGACTACACAGTCTGCAGAATCACCTGGCGAGAACCCCACACAGCAGCTCTCTAGCTCAACTCAAATCTGAGAAAGGAAAAGCAGGAGGCGTGGGGAGTGGCCAGATCTGGACAAGGCACCAGCGACCTTTAATGTAGACATGGTCTTTGTGCTGATGCAGAGCAAGTGGAAGCTCTAACAAAGACGTAATCTGCTGTCACACTGCAGGGCGGCGTAAATGAAAGGAAGCTGAGTGTCAGCTAGAGAAGGCCAGGGGAAACTTTTTTCTTTTTCTTTTTTTTTGCTATAAGGCATGTGCGCTCATCGTAGAGACAGAAAGCAAGAAATCACTCCCTGAGGGTGGGAAGGATGGCCAGGCCACAATGCCTTCTCCATTCTCCTCTTGGGATCTTGATGCACCCAATGTTGAGTTTTAAGCCACCGGGTCTGGGATCGGAACTGTGGGCAACTACGTGGGAGTCCAGCAATGTAACCATTACGCCATTCTCCACCAGACACTCGGTCTGCCCTCTCCCTGCTTTCTCTACTTATCTGTCCATTTTCTCAGCTCACTGCCTGCTTCTACTTGGGGTTTCACATCCGTCTTGCAGGCCAGGACATTTTTCCTGCTTATTTCTGGGGGTGAGATGGGGGGAACTCCAGGGTCTGTGTACTGCACCTCTCCCTGAGCCCTCCAGCTCCCTGGACCCATGGGAGTTGCTGCTGCTGTGTGAACCTGCGAGTGTGAACCTGTGTGTGATCCCAGAGCCTTCCTGCATATTTGCATGTGGTACAGCCCCAGCTGCCTGCACTGTGAAGCTCAGCTCGGCTGGGCCTGTCCTCTTGGCTCCTCCAGTGTGGGTATTTTGTGTCAAGTTCTGCTCTACCTTCCAGTTCACTAACTTGATATTCTCTTTGACCCTTATGTTGTTACTAGGGGAAGTCTGTTAAAATCTACAAATATGGGGCTGGCAGGTGGCGTTGGTGATTAAAGGTGCTGGATTCCCACATGGCTGATTGTGGTTTGAGTCCAGGACCTGGCAGCTTGCTTTCTAGCTTTCCTTTTTCTCTCTCTCTCTGTCTCTTTCTGGTCAAATAAAAAATAACAACAACAAGTCCTTTTCAAGAGTGACTTACTATCCTTGGGAACCAGCAGTTAGCATAATGGCTATGTCGCTGGCCTCCCAAGTAGTCGACTGCAGTTTGCATCCTGGACCAGGTGGCTTAAAACTCAGGCCAGGCGTGTGTGCGTGCGTGCGCAAGAAGCTGAGAAGAGAATGGAGGAGAAGGGCACGTGCTCTCGCCAGACAGAGACAGAGAGACAGAAAGTGAGAAATCACCCCCCAGGGGGGATGGCCACGCCACAATCCCTTCTCCTTTCGGGATCTTGGGCACATACGCACACGCACCCGGCGTGAGTTTTAAAAAAATCTACACATATGAGTTTTTCTTTACTCTCTTGCATGTCTGTTTTGCTTTTTTATTTTTATTTTCTTTTTTTTTAGGATTTTTGCTACAGGGTGCATGTGCTCGCCAGAGACAGAAAGCGAGAAATCACCCCCCAGGGGGATTGACCATGCTGCAATCCCTTCTCCTCCATTCTCCTCTTGGGATCTTGGGCACGCATGCACACGCGCCCGGTGTCAATTTAAGCCCCTGGGTCCGAGACTTGAACCGTGGTCGACTACATGGGAGTTCAGCGACATAGCCATTATGCCAACTGCTTGTCCCGCATGTCTATTTTGCTTTATAGATGTTAAGGCTACATTTCTGTATATACTTTTTAAAAAAGAATCATTTTATTTAACTTTATTTATTTACTTATTTATTTTAATTTGACCAGAGAGGGACAGAGTGAATGAGAGAATGAAAGAAAGGGAGAGTGAGAAAGCAAGCCATCAGGCCCAGGACTTGAACTACAGTCAGTCATGTGGGAGTCCAGCACCCTCAACCACCACACCACCTGCCAGCCCCTGTATATGCTTTTTATTTTTTATTTATTTATTTTTAAAATTCTCTTATTTATTTTGGAGAGTTTGTTTTTTTTTTTTTTTTTTTTTTTTTGCTATAGGGTGCATGCGCACGCCAGAAAGAGACAGAAAGTGAGAAATAACCCCCCAGCTCTGCGGAGCAGGTGGAATGCCAATAACCTGAGGCACCCCCTCTGCACCAGGCCCCAGGGCTCCTGAAGAGCCCCTAGCAGCTGCTGTGTGGAAGCTCCTGCTGTCAGGCCCTGGAAGGCAAGGCTGCCTCCTCAGCAAGGCTTCCTAATCACAGATCCCAGAACACTTCACTGCTAAAAGGAGATGTAAGCTGGGACCCCAAACCAAATTGGATGAGGGGAGCACTGCCCTCCGTGCCCCAGGTTTTGAGGGGCTCCTATACGGGGGCAGGGCCCATGGTCCTTCTCAAACTTCCACTGTGCAGAGAACCCCTTGCAACCTTCTGTCTCTGTACAGAGGGCATTTTGCACTTTACGGGAAATGCATCCTCCTCAATAATTAACTCACACGACGAGAACTCTGGTCTCACTGGAAGGCTGTGCTCTCACAGTATCCTGACATCCATTACTGAAATGCTGGCAGAGTGCTCAGGCCAGCATGCCATACCAGTTCAGGGGTGGTATTCCCAACCTGCCTCCTCTTTGCCTATTTTCAAACAGGATTTGTGCTTGGAGGGAAATAGAGACAGTGGCTCCTCTCCACTCAGAACGATGTCTGTGGTGGGGCTTTTTGGGGCCACAAACCCAGGACCAGCCCAAAACTTGAAGCCTGCCCAAAGAAGGAGTTGGACCCAGTGAGTTTTTTTTTTTTTTTGGAGAGGTTTTTGCCATAGAGCGCGTGCGCTCGCCAGACAGACAGAGAGACAGAGAGATAGAAAGCGAGAAATCACCCCCCAGAGGGGATGGCCACGCCGCAATCCCTTCTCCATTCTCCTCTCGGGATCTTGGGCACGCACACACACACGCCTGGCATGAGTCCAGCGACATAGCCATTACGCTAACTGCTGGTCCCAAGATCCAGCGAGTTTTATAGACAATGGCAGAAAGGAGCCTAAGGAACATAAAGGCCCGTTAGCACATCCTCCAGGGCAGTGTGGAGGTCAATTCTTGCAAAGAATCGAAAAGGCCAGCAGGTGGTGTGGAGGTGAAGGCTCTGGATCCCACATGGCCAACTGCACAGTTCATCCTGACCACTCCAGGCCAGTGTGTATGCCTGCCCAAAATCCTAAGAGGAGAATGAGGAAGGGATTGTGGTGTGGTCATTACCCCCAGGGGGTGATTTCTCTTCCCCCCTCTCTCTCTGGAGAGTGTATGCACCCTATAGCAAAAACAAAAATTAAAAGAAAAGCCCTAGGTGGAATCAAATATATGCTACTTTATATCAGGTATCACTTAAGAAGGATTCACAATAACCCCTAAGGTTCTGTGGTCCTGGAATGGGCATGTGCCAGGGTGAGGACAAGGGGCTAGAAGCCATCACAAGGAGTAGTTCTGAGGGTCACACTGCGAGAGGCCCAGCCAAGGCCAGAAGTGCACGCACACCATGACATCTGCATTCTTCTTCATTCAATGGGTCCTGGTACAGGTCTTATGTGTTTTGTGTCTTGTTTAAATGACAGACCTGTACACGGCACTTCGAGCTGTTTCTTAGAGAAGGTGTGGGCTGGTAGAAGCAGCTCTCCCTGCCGGGCACACCATGGGGGCCCCAGCTCGAGCTGCCCGCACTGGTGTTTCCTCAGCAGCTCCGTGTCTTCTCCATTCAGCAGCTGTGAGCACTCAGACAGCAGGGCCTGCAGGTCCAAACCTAGAGGTTCCCTCAGGGAGGAGAAAGACCTCTGGTGGTAATCTGGGAACTTGCAAGAACCCCGAGTTCTCCATCTTCTGAAGAGTCAGTTATCCAATGCCTGCGGCAGGTGGTTGTAGGGAGCACTGTCCCCTGCTCAGGTCGTCCTGTCCAGAGGGTGGGCACAGACGTAGGCTCGCTTCTCGAGGACCTGCTGGGCAACTTTCTTACTCTGCTCATCCAAGTTTTCTGGAGCATCTGGGAGGGAAAAAGTGGGTGACCGCTCTGCACTGTGACAATACAAACACGGTTGGAGTGGAGCTAGCCCCTCCTCCAAACCCTAGGAAGTGCTTCTGGGCTGCAGAGAGAAAGGGATGGAGGTGTCGTGCTGATCAACCAGGGGCTCTCCCTGGTAATCTCGCAATGAAGACCTGGTGGGGTGAGTGGGGAGAAGGCCTGCTCGGGGAGTGGCGGAGCTTCAAGTCCAGCCTGTTTGAGCAGAGTCACTGTGCGGCCCTCCACAGCCATGACGGCCTGTCAGCACTTTGGGGTGTGGCCCAGCCCCAGAGCCAGGAGCTGCAGTCAGGGCCACTCCCCTCAGCAGGCTCTGGTGCTGGGGCCTCTGTGCCCTTGACAGGGAACAGGACTGGGCTCTGCGGGACACTCACCTACAGGACCACGAAGGTCGGTGTTAGAACATGGCTGGGAAGCTACAAAAGAGGGACATTCCAGGCACATGGACAAGCATGAGCCAAAGCCTGTGTTCTCCGGGGCCTAGGCTCAGGCACGCCAGAGAGCTGCAGCTCCCGTCTGGCTGGTGTGCGGGGCACGAAGAAGCAGGTAAGATGCCGTCTCCTGAATCAGACACGACACCTCCTTCTTCCACAAACCTTCCCTGGGCAGCTCCGAGAATACGGCCAGCAGGGCCTGGCACGGGGGTCTGTGTGAGAGCCCCTCAGACTGCCTTGCTGGGATGCCTGGGCCTTACACAGGCTCAAGGAGCCTGACAGGGCCCAGAGACAGCTCACGGCCAACAGGACCCTGGAACTAGACCCTCTCTCCCCTCCCCAGCTCACCCCACTTACACTTGTCCAGCTGAGACAGGTTGAAGAGATTCTGGAAGTACGCTTCCCTACAGAAGATGTTGGCCAACAGAACCTGCCAGAACCGAAGTCAGAAAGGAGAAGCACTGAGAACTCTGGAGCCAAACTTCGAGCTTCGAAGAGCTTGTCAGCCAACCTGGGCTGCTAGCAGGCCTGGCTCAGGAGCCACAGGGTCCCCGTGGGAAGCTACATGGCACCCCTGAGCCTTGGTGTCACCTCCTGAGGTGAGACCACAACCCCAGGGTCTGCAGGCTACCCGGGCCGTGTCACGGGCTCGGCACCCAGCAGGTTTCAGTGAAGGCACTGCCCGGCTCCAGCAGGGCGAGAGCTGAGAGGCAGGCAGGGGTGACAGCGCTGGGCCCAGGAAGCCCTGCTGTTCACCGCCTCCCCTCTTCCCAGGCAGGAGGACGGAGGGCACTGCCCGCCTCCTGCAGCTGACGCAGCAGACCCTGGCCTCGAGTGGCACCTGTGTATCCCCTTGTGACTCAGCCCCTGGTGACCACCACGAGGACCATGGCCTGTGATGGCCCCTTTCCTGCTGTAGCCACTGGCTTCACTGAAATGCCACCGGGCAGCAGTCCCAGGGCAGGCTCACCTCGTGGTCGTGGTTCCGCAGCCCGACACGGACTGAGCGGCTGGCACGCGACAGCACGGCCGTCATGCCGTACAGGTTGATGAGGATGTCGGCCACCCGCTTCAGCAGCAGCTGCTCCTCCCCGGGGGGCTTGGGGCCGGGTCTTGGGGGGA